GTGGGCGCCTTCCTCGCCGCCCACGCGTCCGCCGCCCTTATCGCCGCTCCCCCGCCGCCAGGGGCCACGCCCCCTCCCACCTCGGGGCAGCCGCCGCAGGCATCCTTCCGCTCTCCCATCGGATACTCCGTCACCTGCTAGAAATTGGGATGTCGCAAGGTACAATTGTTATGATATTAATCCCTATTTATTCAACATTGCCATGCATCGATATTATCGAACCTAAAACAGCGATACTTCCAATTTCTACCGCTATCGATACTCGTTTTCAAGTACAATGAAAATCATTTACTTTTGATTTAAACAATTTTTCATATTAAATTTCTAATGAATTTTAAATTGTAGACTAATTTAAATATATGGAAAGCAGTTTTATCTTTCTTTGGGACAGCAATACTGTTTCAACACTCTCAACCCTGAGTCAGGATAGACAAAAAAGACGCCTATAAATTGTGAACGCGATTGAAATAATCGGTTTAATTGATTAAGTAATAACTTTTGTACATCGATACTGCAGTTTTGTTAATCATGCCACGATTCATTATTATAAATGCTAATGTTGAATGTATTCGAAAAAAGGATCCATACTCTACAGATCGAATGTGAAGCACAGGTTGAGCTAGCTCAGGGAGAGACGGATGACGAACCGGGAAATTAATGAATCGAAATTGCATTGTCTGGGAGTGACGAACGGCCCTCCGCACTCCAATTTCTTATCTACACTATGTCATAATAATGCCTGTTTCAAGTATCAGTTCCCTGTGGTCCACTGTGGTCCCGCGTGGTCCCTTTGTCGTCAATTCCTTCGCAGTGCATTATATGTAAAAGAAGCTAAAAATCATCTTTTCAAGTTAAAAGCCTCCCTAATTTTAACACACTAAAGCAACTGAGTCTGTAGTTTCCATTTTTGCTCTTTGTAGTTTCCGAAGCGAGTTGAGCATTTAATCTTACGCCATATCCACCGCCGCAGCCACTTCGTTCGAAACTGTCAAGAGTGTACGTAAACTGTTATTCTCTCCTCTAACCATTCTTAATTATCAGCAAAGATGATTGAGATCTTCCTGCTAAAGCACTTTCTTAGCCTCTGTTCCTCGTCCACTGCTAACTCTACTATCACCGTCGTCAGTAGGTCACCACCTCTCAATATTGAAACCTACCCTTTTCATCTGTCATAGCCTCCTAGATCATAAAGTGTCCTTCGACTTGTACCACCCCCACACCGTGTCGTGTTCTCGACCTCTGTCCCTGACCAACTGACCCCAACCTACCATGCCCTTTGCCAACATTGTAGCAAAGCCACTAGCACCGACGACTTACGTTCTATTATTAAAATTATGTATTATTATATCATCATGCATCCTGTAATTATTACAAACTCCGTTGGCGGAGATTACAGCTGTCGGCGTTTAAAGCTTTACGCCTCGACGCCTGACGCAATTCCGTCGTCGCCATTGTAATTACTCCATTTCATCCTCTCTGAACCACATGAAAGCGCTCCAGCGAATCACTGACCTCCGCGTCGCCATTTCATCGGCACCCTGCCCCTCCCCCCCCAAACGCCTTTTCTTCTCCATTTTTCGAATCCAGTACTTGAGACTGTCGCCGCAATGAAAACGGATGAGTGATTTGATCCCCGTGTGATAACGTGGATAATATAGGAAAATTATGAAATGAGAGGTAGGAGCAACCGGAAAAATTCGCGTCAACTTGGCCGCTTTGTACATCTCCAATTCCACATGGATCGACAGTAATCCTCTCCGTCCACCCGGTAGCACCGTCCTCACACGCCCCGCCACCTCAGCTAGTATCCTGTGATCCCCTGTTCGATCCCCTCTCCACCGTGGCCCCGGCACTGCGGCCCGGCACCGTCGCAACCCTCCTCGAGCAGGGCGCCTTCCCCAGCCGCCGCAGCCACCGCTGCCGTCCGGCCCCTCCTCCTTCGTTGACCGACGACATATGCGGCATCCGGCAACGTCTTCCCTTCCGGCACCACCTTCTCTTCCTGCGGACGGAAACGGCGAGCCGACGTTGGCGAAGCGAGCCGGCGATCTGGTAAGCGGGGCCGCTATAGCCTCCATCTTCGCCGCAGCCACCATCTCTACCGTCGCAATCCCCTCTGCTGCCAAATTCTCCGCCGCCACTGACATCATCTCTGCCGCCACGGCCACCTTCTCAACCATCAACGCCATCACTGCCATCACCACATCTTGAGCAGTCACTGCCATCGCCGCCGCCATCATCTCCGCACGGCTACCATTTCTACCGTCGCAGACATGTCTGCCGCCGCCAACATCAACGCCGCTTCCGCCACCATCACCGCCGCCGTCATCACCTCCTGTGCCACTGCCACCATCTCTACCGCCGCCAAAGTCTCTGCTGCGACCACCGCCACCACCTCTGCCTCTGCCTCTGTTCCGACGCCAGCGCCACCGCCGTCCGCACGTACGCCCCGCGTCGCGCCGCTGCGAGGATGGCCGGGCAAATACGTGGGGGTGGAGGCGGGGGCGGGGAGCCCGAAGAGGGAGGATTCGAGCGAGTGGGCGGGGCGCTGAGTCGCGCTGATCAACGACGCCCGGCCCTAGCGCTGACGCCTGCTCTAGCGGGTTTTCGCATTCGTCGCATCTTGCTCGCGTCTGCGCGACCGTCGTAAATCTGATTCTGCGTTATTGAGTTCCTTTACACTGGTCACTTGAGAGAGGGAAGATGTCCATCTCCTTCGCTAATACTTAAGAATCGCCAGGAGAGAGAAAGAGCGTTTCGTGCTTTCTGGAAAAAAAATATATGAGCGAGAGTTCTTTTAACGGAGCGACGCCAGTTACAAAAATTAATATTTATTCTATAAAATATATACAGAATTCAGATTAAAAAGTGGTTCAAGAGGGGTCTTATGCTTTAACAATTTCATTTGGACCAATATATTCAAATTATAGAAAAGTGCATTTATAAAATGGGGAAGAATAAAATGTTAAAACACGAAATTGGAAGCAAGAACAGAAAGATCTAGAAAAGTTTTGAGAAAAAAGTGCTGAATGTATTTTAATTACAAGCAAATTCACCGAATGTGAAACAATATAATCGTTATTTATGAATGATACCATTCACCATGACTTGAAGAGAGAGACTTTGTTAGAGAGTGTCTTAGTCCATACAATATTATGCGTCGGTACTGAAGTCAAAGAAAAGTAGATCGAACACGATCTTGTAGAGGTGCACTTTTCAGAGTATCAACGCAAGAGTTGCATCGAACTGTATCAACGCAAGATTTCTTACGGTCATATTGAAGTTAGATTAACAATTTTATTACCAGAGTCTAAACTCCTACATCTACAATATACGATCCGACGAGTGATTATCAACGAAAAACGTAGCTTTTTATCCACGCTTCATTGCTCCTGATTTATAAAACAAAACCCGCAACTCCTGAATTCATAACGAGTTTGCATTTTAAAAGTGCCCAACGTTCCATGGAGTCTCCGACAGGGCGAGGGGCTCATCCCAAAAGAATTCCAAATGGCGAAAAGTAAGGCGCGAAGGAGGGTGAAAAGAACGCTCTGCAGCACTCGATAACTCCTTGAGTGAGCGCGCACCGTGAATTCTTAGTATAATTCTGATCGTGACTGAGTTTTATTTTACAGCACTTGTACGGCAGTTTAACGCCGGCAGTGTCTTCGGGAATAATTTATTCGCTAATATTTCCCAGTGACCAGGCCGGCGATACGGCTAAAGGATCTCACGCTGCGACCAAAAAGCTTAAAAACTCCAGAAATGGCGCACATCTCCGAAAGAATTACCACAGATATCCCAGTACAATTTCGTGACCCAGATCCATGGCAAACAAGAAACTGCACTTCATCTGGGGCCCGATTGCGTTCACATGGAAAACACGCAGAAAAAAATCAAGCCGAGCTGGAAGGTCGTAACTCCTGCGGCCAGACAGGACGGCTATTGGTCTAGAGCGAGGGGGTACGCTAGGCGGAACGACGAGGGCGGGGAGCTGAAGTGGAGCGGGGATACGCATGCGGGTTGAGGGGGGACGTCGCGGGACAAATACGCGGTGTGGTGGGGAAAGCTTGATGAAGCGTGGTGGGATGAAACGCGGCGAGAAAAGACGCGTTGATTAATGGGAGAGTGACGGGGTGTGGGCGGGCGTGAAGCGTAGGAAGGGAAGTCGGTTTGTGGATAACAGAGAAGGTGGAAAGCAGAGAAGGAAAGTATGATCAAGTGGAGGAGAGAATAAAGAATAACGTGATGATGGCGGGTCAAAAGGCGACGTATACACGTCGCGGTAAAGCGGAGAGGGTCGAAAAAGGTTGAAGGCTGGAGGGACCGAAAGTTAGAAAGGATGAGATAGAAAAGTCTGGATGGGGCAAAAGAACGAAATATTCGGAAAGCGAAAGTGTACAGATGAATGTAGTGAAAAAAGTCCTAAGTGCAGTCAAATTGAAAGAATTTACTGTGATCATACCCAGACTATGAAGTTTTGAAGAAAACCAAGAGTGCAAAGAGTGAGCTCATTTTTTATTTATTTATGCTTCATAAAAACGCCAAAATTTTAATTTGCAAGGTAAAATAAATGTAAAATTACGAAAAATAAAATTGTCAAAGTTGTGTTCGTAAATATTATTTCACGGATGCAGAATCATTTGTTTAATTTTTGTAGTTTAAAAAAGGAGGTTAATAATTAATACTAAATTGCTTTAAAAATTAGTTAAAATAATTAGTTTTTTTTCAAACAAAGAAGTTCCCAATAATAATAATAATAATAATAATAATAATAATAATAATAATAATAATAATAATAATACTGCAACATTATATGAGCTTACTTTGCTCTTTTAGAGAAAAATGATTGCCAAATTCAAGAAACGTACGTGACTATATTCAATGGTCAGTCTTTGAAGAACATATTTCATTAACGGAAAATATCCGTATTTTTAATATTGTAGTTGTAAGAAGACGCCAAAAAAATTAAAGCTGCAATTTATAGATAGCATTCACAGGAGTTACGAGATCTCTGTATGCATCTACCAAAGTCCGCGACAGCCGCAGGGTTGGCACCAACTAACCAGAATCTCTTCCAAACAATATCAAGAACAAAAGTGCAGATATTCAAGAATAGCATCATCCAGGCTTTTTGCATTAGAATAGGCACCATCATCCGGTTGAGCGGATCAATTATTTCCATGCGAATACTAGGCACGAAAGAGAACACGCTACCAACTCTCTAAGACCGCCATCGAAATAACCAGAATGGAAAACAAAAATATGAATAAGCAATAACAGCAACATCCTTTTTTTCACCCATTTAGGATCTAGATGGGCACGATCATCCAGTAAAGCGGACCAGACATCTCCAAGCGTCTACCAACTTCACGACTCATGACGGACGCGCCTTTCGAAGGGCTGTTATTGACTAACAGGTATTGCAGCTGAAATCCCAATATCGAAAACAAACGCACCACGATTTCAAGAATAGCAACATCATTAATCAGGATAGGAGCCATCAGCAAGAGCTGGCCTGGACGTGGCGGGGTAGGGCACGGCAGGGCAGAGCTGGGCATGGCAGGGCAGAGCTGGGCATGGCAGGGCAGAGCTTAGCAGGCCTGGGAGACGGGCGCGATACGACAGGGCGAACCGGGGAGTTGGAACAGGACAGGGTGGGGTAGAAGATAGAACAGAGCGAGGCGATGTAGAACGGAGCGGAGTGGGGTTCAACACGACTGGGTAGAAGGTAGAAGACGGGACGGGGTAGAATGGAGCGGAATGAGGGGTGGGGTAGAAGACAAAACGGAGAGGAGTGGGGTTCAAAGGGGCGGAGCCAGTAGCGTGGAGGAAGCGGGGGCGGGCGCACGGAAGAGTCCAGCGCGGGAGTTCTTTCTGGAGACAGACCGAGATCGGAAAGCACAAATCTCCCTCGTCCACCAAGAGCTATGCGCTCCACGTACCGCCCGCGCAGCGTGAGAGACTGGCTCCCGAACGTCACGCCCGCTCCCTGCGTGGGACAGACGGAACGGCACAGGCAGCGTCAGGGGGCAAGCGGGACTACGCGTGCCCCAGTTGGGTAATTGCAGCAAATACGCGTTTGTCCGTATCAAGGATTTCCATCGCAATTTATCAATACCACTGGTGATTGATCATATTGAAAATATTGTTTCTAAATTTTTCGAAACAGCAGTCGACTTGGAAAACTTTGCAGTTCCAAAATTGCTTGAAAAGAAAACCGACCAAATCTCAGTTGAAAATGCTTAAAAAACTGCATAAAATGAGTATTTATTCACAATAGGGAATAGCCCCGTTCTTGCCGTCACTATCCCCACACGATTAGACTATGTCCGCCCCGACTAGCCCCCACGAGTATCTCCGCCACGGCAATCTCCCTCAAGGCAATTCCCGTAACGGAAAACCCCGCCATGGCAATCCCCGCTACGGCAATCCTTGCCACGGCAATCCCCGTCGACTATCTCCACTTGGACCATTGGACCATGCCCGCCACTATTTCCCTCGTTATGTCACGCCACCCCGCAACTCATATCTGCCACATGAACCCCCACCGCGCCGCCATTTACCCCGCAACGTCGATCTGAACCTCCATCCCGCCACGTCTACACTACAGTGATGTGCCTGGACCCCCTCCGTCCATGTTGACATCTCCTGGCCGAGAGCCCCTCCGCTGGGAGAGCTCCGTGGCGGTGGCGGCGCGGCAAAGAGGAACGACGTAGGCAGCGTCAGGAGGCAGGCGGCCGCCTTCTGCGTCCCTTGGGAGAATCCTTATCACGGACATTGCAATTAATCAATACCCCAGCTGATTGATCGTATTAAAAATATTGTCTCTAAATTTTTCGAAACAGCAGTCGACTCGGAAAACTCTCAGTTCCGAAATCGCTTCATATTAATACGATACAATCTCAGTTGAAAATGCTTAAAAAAATACATGAAAAATACACTACAACGAGGTGCCTGGACCCACTCCGTCCATGTTGACATCTCCTGGCCGAGAGCCCCTCCGTCGGAAGAGCTGCGTGGCGGGGGCGGCGCGGCAACGAGCGTGCGCGGGGCGTGCAGGGCGTGCAGGCCCTGCGGGATGAGAAGAGGGCGCCGCTTGCGTACGCAACACGTTGGACACGCGCGCCAGCGGCTGTTGGCGCACCCCCAGGCGCTGCAGCCACGGCCAGCCTCAGCCAGAATCGGCGGTTGACGTAGAAGCAGCGGCGCCGCCACGCTAAACGGCGCTCAAGGA